TGCTGAAGGCTGACTTCGGGCTGGGCGACGCGGCGTCGATGCCGATCCTCTCGCTGCTCGCGGTGATGGACAAGGGCGCGGAGTTCTGGCTGAGCGCGAAGTCGGGCGCGCGCGTGTGCTCAGGCGGCGACCTCAGCAAGGGCGCCCCGCTCACCAGGCGCAACAACGCGCTTGGCTTCTACGCGAAGACCTCCAAGTCGACGACGGAGGCGCGGGAGTTCGCGGCGAGCGCGAACGCCAACGAGCAGCAGGCCGAGGAGGAGTTCGCGCCATCGCCCCGGGCCTCAGGCAGCGGCGGAAACGCAGCGGCAGCGGCCCGACCTTGGCCAGCGCAGCCAGCAGCGACGGCAGCATGAGGAGGAGATCGAGCACGCGAGCAGGTCGCGCGACAGCCAGTGCTACAGCGCGACGGCCAGGAGATCGCCCTGCAAACTGAGAGCCGCGCGGGGGACACGCGAGCGAGGCTGCGGGCGTCGGGGGCGCCGATCTACCGCAGGAAGAACGAGCTGTGGACCAAGCTCAGCGACGCGGAGCGAAGGATCACGGCGCACCGCGACAAACTGGAAGAGTTGGAGCGCAGGCGCGAGCAGTCCGTCCAGGGGGCGCCAGCGATCGCACTGCGGCAAGTTGCTGGACCAGCGGGGCCGACGCCAGGGGAGAGGGCAGCCCACGAGCTGCTGCACTTGACGAAGGCCGAGTGGCGCGAGGCTTGCGCGCGCGGCAACGAGACCACTAAGCCGCGCAATACGCCCGCCTTCGATCAGAAGGACACGGGAAAGGCTCAGATCACCTTGGACCTCTGCTACCTGAAGACCAACGGCGACTGGGCCGAGGTTGGCGACGAGGAGCCGCCGGCGGCGGACATCTTGGCGGCAGCGCTCGTGATGGCGGACAGGGGCACGCGGATGTTCAACGCGATCTCGACGCCGACGAAAGTGGCCACAGAATGCGCGGTGGAGAGCGCGAGCAGCTTCATAGAAGGCATGCACCTGACGACCGCGGACACCAAGACGGACGGCGAGCCGACGGTTCTAATTTTTTGGACGAAGAGCGGAAGAAGCTGAGCAAGAGCGTCAGGCTGGAGACGAAGCAGGGCAACCTGAAGGACAGTCGGAGCACGGGCACGATCGAGGCACCCATCATATGGTTTCAGGCTGATGTGAGGACCTAGAAGTTCGATTTGGAGAAGCGCTATGGCATGGAGACCACGGCGGGCGCGCCGATCTGGCGCTGGATGACGCGCTACGTGAGCCGGGCGACTTCAACTTACAGACGAGAGCCGATGGGGGGCATCTCATCAGACAGCCTACGGAAATAACTTACAACGGCGAGATCCTACCATTCGCATTCGCGGGGACCGCGCTCTTCAAGGCACCGACCTCCCACGCGAGGCAGATCGCGGCGGGGGCGCTGCAGCGCGTGGGCGAGCCGAGCTTCGCGAAGGGCATCTGGATCGGGAAGCACAAGGAGAGCGATGACCGCCCTTTCCTGGCACCAGCAGGTCGGCATCGTGCCCGGACCTGCAGGGGGCTGAAGCCTGCGCTGCACAACGACGCGAAGTTGCTGAAGGCGGTGGCGGCTTTACCCTGGGACGCGCGGGGCGCCGAGCCGTGCGAGCTGCAGCCGCGAACGCAGCGACCCCTGCCCACGATCGCCCTGACGGCGGCGGAGCAGGAGGCGGAGGCAGAGGCGGAGGCGGCAGCAGCACCTGGAGGAGATACAAACAGCAACGGGCACCAGAGCAGGGGGCGCAACCAGCAGCAGAAGGCGGAGACGCACGACAACCTGAACCGGCGCCAACAGCAGGACCTGGATCAGGAGCTGTAGCGGCAGCAGGGCCGCAGGCGAAAGCAGCGATGGAGGAGGGCGCGCCAGCTACCCCACGAGGTCAAGCCCGACCAGCTGATGACCAAGACTTTGGCTCACCTGGCAAGCGAGCGAGGCGCGTGGAAGTGATCTCGCTGGGCGACCCGATCGACTGCGGCATGCTGGACAGCGTGAACACGGCGGCCTACTTCACGACCGGTGGCCTGGACCCAGCGGTGGAGCTCAAGGGCAAGCGCGAGGCGCTGGAGGTGCTGGCGCAGTACGGCGCCCACAGGGACATCCCGAGGAGCGAGAGCGGAAAGTTCTAGACGATCTAGGCGCGCGGGGGCCGCAGATGCGAGGAGCGGCTTGCAAGTGGCGGCACGTGGCGCAGGAGTTCAAGTGGACGCAGCAGCGGAGCGACGCGTTCGCAGAGAGCACCTCAGCACAGACGAGCCGACTGGTGGACTTCGTCAGCATCCAGGAAGAGAACCACAACGCGTTCACTGCGGACTGCGCGAAGGCCCACTACCAGGCAGACCAGACGGAGATGGCGCGCGTGGAGCCACCAGCCGAGTGCCTGTCGATCCTGGCGGGGTTGGGGGAGCCGACCGATATTGCGTGGGCGTTGGAGAAGATGTTACCAGGACAGCGCGCGGCCGGCTCAGGGTGGGCGGACAAGGCGGCAAAGACGTTGGAATGCGATGGGTTTTAGCGATGCGAGCGCCAGCCCCAGTTCTACTGCCAGAAGGAGAAGGAGGTCCTGATGGAGGTTCGCATGGGTGACCTCCACGGCGAAGGACCTGCGAATAACCTGGGTGGTGTCATCATGAGGCCGCGGGAGGCGCTCGACCTAAAGGCGACGGACGTCATCAAGAAAGGACGCTACTCGCACGTGAAGCGCGACAGGCTGAGACTCGTGAGCGGGCGCGTGGTGCCGCGCCCGAACGTCAATCACATCGAGGACCTGATCTACGCGATGGGCATGGAGAAGGCGAAACCCGCAAGGGTGCCAGAGCCGACCTGCAGTCCAGAGCTGGACGAGATCGAGGCGGCGAAGTACCGCAGCGGCGTGGGCATCTCCCCCTGCATCTCTCCTGACAGAGTCGACATCCAGAGGGGGGTGCAGCTGCTGACGAGGAGCTTGAGCCAGCCGGCGGAGTTCGACAGGAGTGAAGCTAGCGACGTACCCGAAGGGGGCGAAGACATACGGAGCGCTGCTGAATAAGCCGGCGGTGAGCAAGCCTGGCGAGGTGAAGTTGCATATTCACGCGGACAGGGACTTCGCCACGTGTAAGACCACGAGGAGAGCGATGACATGTGGGATCACGAAGCGGGACGGCGCGCAGTTCGCGGCTCTCGCGAGGCGCCAGGGAGTCCAGACACATCTTCAGGAGAGGCGGTCCGCCTCTCCTGAAGATGCGCACATGTGGCAATCGCATGTGCACACCTTCAGGAGAGGCGGAGCTTCACAAAGTTAGGGCCGCATTCTTGCGCCCCGCAGAACTCGGAGTTCTGCGGGGCGACCTCAGTGGCGATGGGCGGCAAGCTCCTCGAGAACGCATTGGAATGGCTGGGCTACAAGGTGACCTGGGCGCCGTCGATTGGCAGCGGCGCCGCGAATGCCAGGATCAACCGCGGGGGCGTTGGCAAGTTGGAGCATCTTGACGTTCGAGCGCTGCGGGTTCAGCAGGAGCGGAAGCAGGATGACCTGAACGCGAGGAAAGAGAGCGGCGAGAAAAACGCGGCCGGACCTGGGCGCCGAAGCACGCCCCGCGGCGAGGTTCGAGCACTTGCGAGACCTGGCGGACATTGTGGACTGCGCGGAGATGGAGAAGCACGGGGAGCTGGAAGCGTACTCGGTGACAACGAGCACGAGCTGGGCAAGGCAGGGCCTGCTGGCCACCTTGCTGGCACAAGGAGCGATTGCGGGTTCGGCGAGCACCTGCGAGCTGGACATCTACGAGCAGAAGCAGACCACCAGCCTGGAGGGATCAGTGATTCGCGACTGGTTCGATGAGAACGCACTGACGATCGTAATGACGTGCGCTCTGACAGTATTCGTGATTGGCCTGGCGCGCGGGTGGCGCTGCGAAGGTGCGTGGACCAACGCGAAGAAGAGCAACGGGATGAATGAACGAGGTGGCGAAGGGCGCGGAGACGCATGGCAAGGTCCTGAGGAAGAAAAAGGACGGAGGCCCGACGACAGCTGAGACGGCTCCGCAAGCGCCGTGCACGTACAAGTGGATGAACGAGAGCCCGAGGTTCGCGGCGCTGCCAGCTGCGAGCCATGGCTGAGTTTGAGGCGACTGGCGAGGAGATCCACATCGCCCAGTTCGGCGAGCACGCCTGCACCGAGGCGCCGTGGGGACGCACGCGCAGGGGTCAGTGAGCGCGCGGCCCTCCGCGCAGGGCCTGCGGCGTAAGGGGCCAGGAGGGCCCAGCACGCGCGAGGGCCGAGGAGGCCCGAGACCACTGGAGAAAGGGGTTCCCTCCGCAGCTCATCAGGGCTCAAGAAACTTCGAGCCTACAACATCATCTCTGCATGTTGCGATCCATCTGTAATCATATTATGACTCCTAGCTTCAATAGTGTGAATAGTCGCACAACTTGTATCATTCGTCTGTTTCGTAGTATGGTTTGTTTTCTTCTTATGGTTAGCAGTCGTCTTCCTAATATTCGCATGGTGGATTTAAAAGTTGGATTGGTGCAGTCGTAGTAATCAAAGTGTCATTACCAGTACCTTAACAGCCTTCGTGTAACTAGCACTCGTGTATCATCGTCATAAGTGTATGCATTCATAGTTGCTGATTTGATCAATGAGCAGCTCATTCCTATGATTAACATGATTCGACCTAATATCATTCGTCGTGCAACTGATAAGGATTGCGCGCATCTCCTTAGCAGCCAAACTCTGGTTCTTGACTCATAATTCTCAAAATTCTGAGTGTCACGATCATGTGCCGCAGTATTGTTAAGCTTCGTAATAGGTCTTAGCATTAATGGTTTGAACGCTAGTATTAATATTTGCCCGATGATCGTTCGTAATATGGTAATGTGCGCTGTCGTTGAAGCATCGTATCACCATTGTCTTTCGTGCCGTTAATGCGATGGTTGCGTTTCTTATTTTTATTCACTTTAATGTTTATTATTCGCTGTGTGATATTTTTCCTGTTTGTACTAATATCCCGCAGGCGGGACTTCGAGGCGTTCCAGCGGCTGCTCTCAAGTGCTTCGGCGTCGCATCAGCGCGCGCTGGAGGCCCACAGGGACTTCTTGGAGGAGTGCTGTTCTCTGCAGGATTCGCAGCGTTCGGGAGGGATGCGCTCAGTTGTTTCTGACTTGTTTGGTGGTTCTCGGCGGTTGTCGGCGGCTGTCTAACCTCAGGATGCTCTCCAGCAGTTGCGCATCGCCGAAAACGTTCCGGGGGGTTCCAGATCGTCCCGAACGGCCGCCGGAGAGCCGAGTTATGACCTAAAGCCAGGGGGCAACGCTCGGGGGGGATAGGCTCAGGGGGGAACTCACCGACCTTCAACCGCCCGTTCGTTGCCGATTGGGGCCCGAGTAGCCCGCCACGCCCAGGAGCGTGCGGCTGCGCCGTCAGTGGCCTACCGTCGATCTAACTACGACCCCAGAAGTCTGACGTCCAGGCGGTCTGGACCTCTTCTCGGGGACCGGCTTTTCATCCTGAGCGGTTGTTTGACAGTCTTGGGGCTTGGAGGGATGCATGGCCGATTCCAGGTCGGTATTTCCCCTATGAGCTCTGGACCACTTCCAGGGGACGGGCCTCTCGCCCCAGATAGTTTTTGTTGACGGTTTTGGGGCCCGGCGAAGGGCGCCCAATCACGGAAAACGACGAACAACATCCGCGTTGATTGGTTCAATGTGTTGGAGGTTTGGGTTCCAGGTCGATGCGCTCCCCCAGTAAGCCCATGGAATGAAACAGCTTTGCAATCAAAGTTGAGGAACCGCTTCCCGTGGCCCCCCATTCACACCCCAGCCTTGATACTGAACAAGCGTTCGCGGAGAAGCAGGGCCGAAAAAGTCTTGAACCCAACATCTCGAACTCAACATCTCCCAATGTTGAGGCCAAGTGGGGGAGGGGGAAGTCTAGCTATCTGGCTCTGTCCAATTCGGGCGTTGCTGCGGCAAAGCTCTTTCCTTCAACAGGCTGGGTCCTCCCGTATCGTTCCCCTCGAGGACGGCCTCGCGAGCTTGGAGGCCCGTGTGCTCAAGAACCTCGAGTCGCTGGGCGGCGCCCACGTTGGGACCTCGAGCTCCGAGGCGCTTGCGGTGAAGAACCACCAGGTGGCCACGGACCAAACCCAGACGTGCTCGCGTCGTGAAAACAATCACGACGAGATGTTTTTGGCAGTTTTCGGCCTCTGGGGGCCCTCGCTGGGCTTCCTGACCATCCAGAACTATTTACGCAGGACGAGAGATTTTCTTCTTGAGGTGCAAATGGCGACGATGAGTTGGAAGTTTATGACCTAACGCCCGTCCCCCGTAGAATCTTAACACGGGCGGGTTCTGGGGTCCGCGGATCCGATGTCCTCCGGCTTCCCGTTTTAATGTGATAACATAAAGTGATCACGGAGTAAAAAGACGGACCCGCCGTACAAAAATCAAGACCGAACACGGATCCAGCAAATCCGAAATCGGATCCGCGCGGACGGAAATCGGAACCACCGAAACAAACACCAAAACCGCATTTGGATCCGCGCGAATTTCATGGGATCCGATGGCGGCTATCTCATACACGTCTGCTCAAGACTTTAAGCCGTCGTTCCGGGCCAAAGAGGAAAACAAATCGTCCTGGGGGTGGGCGTTTTGGCCTTCGGACTTGGTGATTACAACATAGCCTACACACCACATCTCACAGGCAGTCCGTTGTTGGTTAGCACATAGCCGACAAACCACATCTCACAGGCAGTCCGTTGGGTCAGGAGACGCAGGGCCAGAACGCATGGGCGTTTTGGCCTTCGGACTTGGTGGTTACCGCATAGCCGACACACCACAGCTCACAGGCAGTCCGTTGGGTCAGGAGGCGCAGGGCCGAGACGCACTGGGCGTTTTGGCCTTCGGACTTGGTATCTACCACATAGCCGACACACCACATCTCACTGGCAGTCCGCTGTTGGTTACCACATAGCCGACACACCACATCGCACAGGCAGACCGTTGGGTCAGGAGACGCAGGGCCGAAACGCATGGGCGTTTTGGCCTTCGGACTTGTTGGTCACCACATAGCCGACACATCACGACTCACAAGCATTCCGTTGTTGGCTACCACATAGCCGACACACCACATCTTACAAGCAGTGCGTTGGGTCAGGAGACGCAGGGCCGAAACGCATGGGCGTTTTGGCCTTCGGATTTGTTAGTTACCACATAGCTGACACACCACGCCTCACAGGCAGTCCGTTGCTGGTTACCACATAGCCGACACTCCACATCTCACAGGCAGTCCGTTGTTGGTTACCACATAGCCGACGCACCACATCTCACAGGCAGTCCGTTGGGCCAGAAGGCACAGGGCCAGCGTTTCGGCCTTCCGACTTGGCGGCTACCACATAGCCGACACACTACATCTCACAGGCATCCCGTTGTTGGCTACCACATTGCCGGCACACCACATCTCACAGGCAGTCCGTTGGGACAGGAAAGGTTGGGCCGAAACGCATAGGCGTTTTGGCTTTTGGACTTGTTGGTTGCCACATAGCCGACACACCACATCTCACAGGCAGTCCGTTGTTGGCTCCAACATAGCCGACACACCACATTTCACCGGCAGCGCGTTGGGTCAGGAGACGCAGGGCCGAAACACACTTACGCAGGACGAAAATTTTGTCTCCTGAGGTGCAAATGGCGACGACGTGTTGGAAGTTCATGACCGATACCCCCTTCCCCCGTAGAATCTTAACACAGGCGGGTTCTGGGGTCCGCGGGTCCGATTTCCCACGGCCCCCCGCTTAAATTTGATAATATGAATTTAAAAAAGGTGAAAAAAAGACGGACCCGCCGTAAAAAACAAAACCGAACACGGATCCAGCAAATCCGAAATCGGATCCGCGCGGACGGAAATCGAATCCACCGAAACAAACACCAAAACCGCATTTGGATCCGCGCGAATTTCATGGGATCCGATGGCGTCTATATCACGAACGTATGCTCAAGATTTTAAGCCGTCGTTCTGGGCCGAACAGCAAAAACAAATCGTCCTGGGGGTGGGCGTTTTGGCCTTCGGATGTGGTAGTTACCACATCGCAGACACATCACATCTCACAGGCAGTCCGTTGTTGGTTACCACAAAGTCGACATACCACATCTCACAGGCAGTCCGTTGGGTCAGGAGGCGCAGGGCCGGCGTTTTGGCCTTCGGATTTGTTGGCTACCACATAGCCGACACATTACATCTCACAGACAGTCTGTTGTTGGCTACCACGCAGACACACCACATCTCACAGGCAATCCGTTGGGTCAGGAGCCGCACGTCCGGAGCGCATGGGCGTTTTGGCCTTCGGACTTGGTGGTTACCGCATAGCCGACACACCATATCTCACAGGCAGTCTGTTGGTTACCATATAGCCGACACACCACATCTCACACACAGTCCGTTGGGTCAGGAGGCACAAGGCCGAAACGCATTGGGCGTTTTGGCCTGCGGACTTGGCGGCTACCACATAGCCGACACACCACATATCACAGGCAACCTGTTGTTGGTTACCACATAGCCAACACACCACATCTCACAGGCAGTCCGTTGGGTCAGGAGCCGCAGGGCCGAAACGCATGGGCGTGTGGGCCTTTGGATTTGTTGGTTGCCACATAGCCGACACATCACGTCTCACAGGCAGTCCGTTGTTTGTTACCACATAGCCGACACACCACATCTCACAGGCAATCCGTGGGGTCAGGAGGTTCAGGGCCGAAACACATGGGCGTTTTGGCCTTCGGATTTGTTGGTTAGCACATAGTCGACACACCACACCTCGCAGGCAAACCGTTGTTGGTTACCACATAGCCGACACACCACCACATATCACAGGCAGTCCGTTGTTGGTTACCACATAGCCGACACACCACATCTCACAGGCAGTCCGTTGGGTTTGGAGGCGCAGGGCCGAAAGGCATGGGCGTTTGGTCTTCGGATTTGTTGATTACCACATAGTCGACACACCACACCTCGCAGGCAACCCGTTGTTGGTTACCACATAGCCGACACACCACATCTCACGGGCAGTCCGTTGGGTCAGGAGACGCAAGGCCGGCGTTTAGGTATTCGGATTTGTTGGTTACCACATAGCCGACACACCACATATCACAGGCAGTCCGTTGTTGGTTACCACATAGCCGACACACCACATTTCACAGGCAGTCCGTTGGGTCAGGAGGCGCAGGGCCGAAACGCATGGGCGTTTGGCCTTCGGATTTGTTGGTTACCACATAGCCGACACACCACATCTCACAGGCAGTCCGTTGATGGTTACCACATAACCGACACCACATTTCACAGGCAGTCCGTTGGGTCAGGAGGCGCAGGGCCGAAATGCCTTGGGCGTTTTTGGCGTTCGGACTCATTGGTTCCACATAGCCGACACACCACATATCACAGGCAGTCCTCTGTTGTCGTTCACCACATAGCCGACACACCACGTCTCACAATCAGTTCGTTGGGTCAGGAAGCTCAGGGCCGAAGCGCATGGGCGTTTCGGCCTTCGGACTTGTTCGTTACCACATAGCCGACAAACTACATATCACAGGCAATTCGTTGTTGTTTACCACATAGCCGACACACCACATCTCACAGGCAGTCCGTTGGGTCAGGAGACGCAGGGCCGAAACGCATGGGTGTTTTGGCCTTCGGACTTGGCGGCTACCACATAGCCGACACACCACATATCACAGGCAACCCGTTGTTGGCTACCACATAGCCAACACACCACATCTCACAGGCAGTCCGTTGGGTCAGGAGGCGCAGGGCCAGCGTTTTGGCCTTCGGACTTGTTGGTTACACCTCATATCACAGGCAGTCCGTTGTTGGTTACCACATAGCCGACACACCACATCTCACAGGCAGTCCGTTGGGTCAGGAGGCGCAGGGCCGAAACGCATGGGCGTTTTGGCCTTCGGATTTGTTGGTTACCACATAGCCGACACAGCACATCTCACAGGCAGTCCCTTTTTGAGCTCCACGCCCGCATCGCAGTCCTCTCATCGAGGAACAGTCGCCCACCTGCTAAGATGAAGAGCAGGGTCCACCGTGTCCACCGTGACGCCCGCAGCTCGCAGCCTGTAGTGCGGGCGACGCCCTCTGCACAACGCTCTCCAGCGATACCCCGCAGCACGAAATGGTGGCGGTTGACACTTGGCCCCGAGACCACGCACCGACGCCACGCTGGGGTACGAATTGCAACGTGCGCAAATACATAAAACTGAACCGTCAGAGCAATCGAACGCGATCGCGCGGTGCTCTAGGGCGTCTTGGCGCGGCGCGTGCAACGGCGAGTCTAGAGGGCAGGCGCCTGGTGGAGGCTTCTCCACAGACCTTCTCCCTCGCGGGCAAACTGCGCAGCGCCAAACGCCAGACGGGGATTTCCAGGGGTGTCCTGCTGGCGCCTCGGCGGCAGAGGGCGCGGCTGGCATGCGCGCGACTTCGGAGAGATCCAAGGCTGGCCATAGGTGCAGCACGCGAGCAGCCAAACGGCTCGTCTGGCGCGCAAAAACGACGAGCTTGTCGGCAGCGCCCAGCTGGTCTTCACAAGACGGGTGCAGACGGACAGCACGCGGTTACCGAGGCGTTTCCAGCGCTCGACATCATCGATTCCGTTCTCATCGACATTTTTGTGAGCGGTTATTTCGGTGCATTGGGCAGGCCTGATGCCCTGGGCGTAAAAATGCAAGAGCGCTCCTGAGAGAGAGCTGCTCTCCTCTGGGCCGACTGGCCAGCTCAACGACATCACTGCGAGCACAAAACATTGAGATCTTGGACGAGGCAAGCACACCGGCCCAAGTCCAGCAGCTAAATTCGGCTGATTGGGGCGCCCGAGGATACGGGGCCCAAACGGGGGCCCTGAATTCAGCCACAGAGCCACCCTGACTGTCGACCATAACAACACTGCTGGCGGCGCGAGAAAGCTCTCGAACGTCGAGTCTGCTGTTAGATCCGCCAACAAAAACACCACCCCAGACCTCAGTGCCTGGCTCTTGACCCGAGGGAGACACTACATCTTTCTGCTGCCACACAAGAAAAGGACCACCGCCCGACTCAGTGAGGGGCTTCGGATATTGGTCGGCGTGGTGGTGGA